AAAATAGAATATATGACAATATTTAAATATAATATATCCTAGACTGACAAATCATCTCCGTTCAGAATCGTTTTTCGTATACAATGATACCTATCACTTTAACCTTTCTACTCTTGATAAAAACTCGGGCGCATTTTACATGTGTGATTTAGTGTTTACCTGTATTTTGGGCGCCGTTTACAATCGCCGAGCTAAAAAACTGTCGACGAATTTTTAATTCAGACACAAAATTGTCGAAGAGATCTAATCTCAGGSAACTAAAAAAGTGTCTACGAATTTTTAATTCAGACACGAAATTGTCGAAGAGATCTAATCTCAGGCAACTAAAAAAGTGTYTACGAATTTTTAATTCAGACACGAAATTGTCAAAGAGATCAACATGTCTTTGTCTAATCCATTAAATGCTGGCATTGAGAATAATGGTCTTGAAAATTCCAATTCATATTCTGATCACATAGAGCCCGAACTTGTTTAAAAAGACATACTGAAATACATGAGTGTATCACCCCAGAGTGATTTCAGTTGGATGAAAAGGGATCCAGCAATACCTTGTAGTACCCCAATTCTACCGGAAAACATTAGCAATGAAGCTGATCTTGTTACGCCCAGTAAATTAGAAAGCAGAAGACATGTTGGACTTGTTCCAAGTCCCCTTAGGAATGCATATTTTAAGAAAACCCCAGTTAAGTCTGGTGTTGTGCTGCCTTTTTACATTAGACTTWCGYTTTTGAATGTAAAATGTCCAATATAATCTGATACTTGACTTTTAACAATAAGATTTTAAATAGTTATATAGGTTTCTTAGAAGGTACCTTTTTAGTTTTTGGTCCTCGATAACATTCTTACAAGTTACGACAGTACCTTTTATGGTATGCCGATATTGCGGCAAAAAGGTAACATACTATTTGGACCTTGAGTCTATTAAACATTTTATTCATCATGTTTTTTTAATGGGGGATGATATATGTCGTCGTGAAAATTAATTAGTTCTAGTTTATAAGTCATTCCTCAATTGGTTATTGAACTGAGTAGTACTCATTTTGAGTTTACCTATATTAATACTGCGTGCCGTTGTATTTTGTTTTTTTATTGGTGATTTTTCAAACTTATATACGTCTTTAAAATGTTTCCTAAAAAAAATCGTTCGAATGTTTGGGAATATTATTTAAAAGATCCGAACTCATCGGGCCAAGTTAAATGCAGAGTATGCAAATCTTTTTTTAAATATTCTGGTAACACTTCGAATTTATGGGATCACGTGAAAAGAAAACATTCTACTGTGTTAGAGGCAGAAAAATTAGTCACTGAACTAGAACAATTAGACAATGTTCCAAACATTTCAATGAATGATCAGCCA